AGTAGTTCTAAAACATTTTCATTCATAAAAATACGCTGATTAGTCGGTCTGGCTACTAGTCAACTTTCGAGATTTATTCCTTGACAATCACATATGTGTATGCTCTTTCAAAAACCTAGGCATCACTAATTGAGTACACATCCACTCACGTAATTATAAAGACATGCTGACAGTCATTCACATTAAGAGAGGAAATTAATAAACTTAGTTTGACTTGAATTTATCCGTTTAGTTGTTGTGTGTCTTTATGCTTAGCTTTTAGCAAAAGAAATGTAGTATGCAAACAAGCATGGACACTGCAAATCACCTCGAAGTGTTTTGGATTACTAGAATAGTTTGCGTGTATTACAGATTTTTGGTGAGTGGTAGCCTATAAAATAGAAGGAGAATAGTTTTGTAAGATTGAAGTTTGGAATTTTTGTTAAACTACTGCATTACTACACTATAGTTATAAGGATATGAAGATGATGAATGAGGCAGTTTTCTACGAATTACCGCTGAGATTGAATAATATTTGACAGCAACCAAAGGTATCTGGTTTAAGAAAACAACATGTGACTTATCTTTTTAGTGAAATTAGTGTGCCGACCGCAAAATCACAGTCTTCTGAACAGACTAGATGTCAAACTCGATAGGAGTTCTGTTGTTTTTCATGTATGCTATAATAACATCAAGAAGCAAAGTGTTCCTGCATTTTGATCTTCCGCCTTATCTGGGAAGTCGTACATGTGTCGCTGGATTGGTTTTAATTGAAATCATGGTATGCATGCAAAAGATGCAACTATCAGTTGATGATCTCAGTCCTTTGTGAAGCAGATTGGATTTCTAAATGCCTTTCAAGAGTTGAGGCGACTGAATAGCAGTGCAATCCGTTGTAGTAAATGAGTGGAAAATGAAATGATTTAAAGTGAAAGATTTGTAGGTCTTGGAGATCTTGGTTACAAAAACCTTAGTGGCATCAACTATGTCTTCTGTAATCACTGTCCGGATGCCCAAATCATTGGTTGTACTAGTTTATAGAGTTAGGAACTGAGTTTGTGAAACTTTATTGACTGAAATGATTGGTTCGCATATTATGTCCGCCCAGTCAGTGTATACTATGATGGACTAAGTTAGTTGGTGTGACTTCAGTTTCAAAGAACACGTATAACGGTAGTAGCGAAGAAATACACCAATCCAAGGGTTTTTGACTTTTGAAGCGATGTGTGCAAGGAATTTCAGGCCGAGTAAGCACTGTCTGCAGTACAAAAGAAGTTGATGGATAAAAGCTTTACGGAATGTAGTGAAATACCAGTTTTCGTTTGCAAGGATGAATCTGTGTATTATCTTCATCTTCATAGCAAACTTCTACACACTTAGTTTCTCTATTTCTCTGAATACGTTTCCCCTTCACAGGATATAATTTTCAATAACCACTGATATAATCACTATTATTACCAGTGCTATCATTACAACTATCACTATTACCATTATTGCTACTATTATTATTAGTTTAATTTCAGTCTTACTGATTTACTACTTTATACTACGGTTGCTGCTTTTGCGTACAGTCTTATTTTTCTTATAATGCTTCTTTTTCATCCAACGAGTAAATAATGAAGGTTCTACTAACGCAGCAGACGAAAGTAGTGACCATCAGTTTCTAAATTATCGAAATCATAAATGACATATTAAAAACGAGTGGGTAAAATATACTTATATTTTTGGTAAGATATTTTAATCCAAACCTCAGGCACTCATGGTTATGAAAAAGTCGGAAACTAGTGTCAGTGTGAACAAGAGACTGCACTTACAATAGAAAACCGGGAGTGTAAATGTGAGATTCGATAAAAGCTTTGAAGAAGTAGAATAACGTCATCTTCGATTCACTGTCAGGGGTGGATATCTTCAAGCATTCTGTTACTGTTGATAGTGAAAGCTTGAAGACTGAAATAACAAAGAATTGGATGACTCTTCAGGCAAGTGATTATCACTCAAAAGAGGCAATTTAAATTTTTTTGCATTCAGGTAGATTTTTTCAAGTATTACTTACTGATTAGTAATTCGTTTTTGCTTGCTGATACGCCGCAAAACATAATTGGACCAGTAAGTGAAGAAACAGATTGTCCCTCAGGAAATAAACTTGGATGTTTCTGCGCAGTGATCACAAATACTCAAGTTGCATAACTTTTTTCTGAAGGCTAGAAATTGATATCCTAAATGTTGTGGTCACTGGTGTAATTGGTGTCTAGCATAACCCTTAAAAATATTAGCATATGTCGAGTTGGAAGCGTACTGTTAGCAGGTTGTCGTTATTCTACGTACGACAGTGTATGAGTGTATGAGTGTAGTGATGAGTATACTATGCAAAGTCTCTTCTCGATTTAGAATCAACCAGTCAGACGAAATGGGCACTGTTATAACTAATATTTTTCCATAACTGTTAACGAAATTACTGTCTACATCAAACCAGCAACAGACATTTAAGTTATTTTGATAGACAGAAAAGTATGGGTAACTCTCCCACCACATGGAAATGAATAAAGACTGGTGTATATTGCAGTGACTGATACATAGTCAATATCCTAGATCCACTTATCATGAGATCTGGATTAGGTGAAAGGTCTTTTCACCGAACTCTGTAAGGGGAGTGTGTGTGAAAGCTCTTCAAATCGTCCAGATAACCAGGGCACTATGATAGTAGGGCAGTATAGTTCACTCATATTTGGGTATCATAACTGTTCCCTCTGAATTCTATGACTGTGTGGCTTAGTTTAGGGAGAAAGTTTGTGTAGACGGCATAGACAACCACGTAATAGCAAGCGTCAAGAGGGGCACACAGTTACTGATTCTTCCTACAGTCTTTTTCACTGGCGATTAAGTTTATGTTTGAAGATATAACCTGAGCTAGTTAAAATTACTCACCAGAATGTTTGTATATGAATGGAGTTCTAATATTATTCATATAAATAAATTTGTTCATGTTGGGTAAGTGATATTCATAAGTCCAACTTAAAGCCATTCAATTGCGTTTTTGGTAATTCGTTGCAATTTTTTATCCAAAGCATCACGAATTTAATCGAAAAATGTGATTACATGATATATCTAACATCAAATAACAACCGGTCAGAATCAATAAATAAAGAATGTAAAACTAGATATAAAACAACACCAAACATCAGAGATGAAATCCATTTTTGTGAGATGGGTTTACTCTTGTTAACATACAATATTTGTAAAAATGTAAGGCATAGAATTCTCTTCGTCCTATCTATGTCTCAGCTTTTCTAATGAAGGGGAGATGGGTTATCTTCAACGTAGTTACTAGCTTCATTGGCTGCTTGCAACCATCATGGCGATGATTTTCATATCGTTGACACTGTATGTAGCGTGCCTTGTGACTAAAGTCTCAACACCCATAACGGAGGGTTCAAGTGTCGGATTGAACCGATTCTCCCCTTTATGTTTCATAAATATGCTGTGGAACAAAATGATTCACTGAAAGTCAGTAACGCTGATCTGTATATTTTGATGGCCAGTTTCGAATGATGTAAGCACCGGACTCCTGTTTCCTGCATTTTGTACTCAGCTCATTAACTGTGCACGCGGATACCTTCAGCTCGAAATACCGTATTGTAATGATCAACTGAAATATCTGAATGCAGGAATGATGAGCTGAGCTGTCAATGAGCAAAATAGCCACCGATTGTTTAGATCATTCTAATTTGGCCACGGAAATTTACAGCTGAGTGTGAATGGTTTCAAACTCCTTATGTTTGATGCGCAGTGGTGTATTTCTTTGGTTCGTGGTACTTTTGTGTCACAAACCACACCTTTGGGTTTTAACTGTATATTTTCCAATGGGCGACCGGTTCATCAGGAGAATATTTCGCTTTTTTTTGTATAATTTTCATATTTTAGTCCACTTGCTGCTATTGATAATTGTGTCTAACTTGAAATGTCTAATGACTTACTCGATTTCGAATAATTTTATCCTTCAAAATATTCATTCTTATATTTTGTTACCATTTAATGGACATTGATGAGCTAAATGTCCCCTTGACTGACTGTGAATTAAGTAGGTGTGTTTGTTTTGATTTCATGTATGTGTATAGCTTTTGAGAATGATTGCATAATTCGTATTGAATAATAACAAGATATTATTCAATTGTGTACCGCCTACTTCTCTGCTTTTTGTATTCTTTTGAAAAGAACTTAGTTAAGTCAGACATCAAATGCTTACTAAATTTACGGTGAAACCAATTCATGTATATCAGTGTTTGTTCTGGATTTAATGTTATGCGTACAACAATTCGCCAGGTACAACTTTAGTGGGAAATAACTAAAGAATTTAGAGACGAAAATGCTCCATCACTACTTGAAATCATTAACTACCGTTAATACAGTCTCCGTATCTGATATTAATTCAAGGGGAAAACGATTTTTTTTCGAATTCCCCAAACAATTTGTAGCATTATTATTCACTTGTAATAGGCTTTCCGTTCATTCCCAGGCTCTCTTATTTTTTCCATTGATATTCTCATTCAATTCTCTTGTAGTGTCAGGCATTCTTAGGCGATACACTTTTGTTTCTGTCCATATGTGAAAGTAAAACGTAAATTGAGTCATAGACTTTTGCCTCATTCGAGAACAGCTGAATAGATCGTTTTAGATCCTTAAGGGTACCCAGCAGGAGGTTAAACTTTAAAAATAAACAAATTCATCAAAGTAGACTTTTTTTCTGTCAAAAAATTATTGCGTAACTAGATACATCGACATAATTCAAACAAATAATGACAAGCTTTTCATATGCTTCACAAATAAAATAAATATTTTCCGAAAAAATCATCCCCAGAAAAACTAGGAGGATTAAACGATAGTTGCAAAACGGTTTTCTAATTCTGAATCTGAATTATTGATACTTTTGGATATTGATCAGTATCCTTGTAGTCGTAGAGATGATGGATAATATGCTCGTCTTGGTATACATCCTAATTGATTAAGGTGGATAGTTTCTGCTTTCAATTCAATTTCTTTTCAAGTATCAGTTGGGTATCATGCAAATCCTTCAATTTATTCTCTACTGTTGAATACTGATGCAACAATTCATCCAAGGACTGACCTAATGCATTAACTTCTTCCGCCAAACTGCGAAAGATAAATAAATAAGAGTCAAAATGTGATATTTTGAGTGGATTAAATGAAAGTATGTAAAGGAATAAATTTGAAATTTTTCCCTATTGAAGGACAGCCAAACTGCTATTAAAGTGCGTAGATGTATTAGGCTTTGATAAGACCAAAATCACACTTCCATAACCCTAGAAAACGTTTATCACCTTAATCAATCCTAACACTAGTTTCAGAATCTTCCCATATTTTGTGGAATCTTGCTAACACTGACCATCGGATTCCTACCCAGTAACTCAATGGTAACGTGCTGGCCGCAGAACTAGAAGGTTCTGGGTTCGAGCCTTGGCGAGGTCATGAGTACATACTGCTGAGGAACCTCGTACTAGAACGAAACAGCTCTCTAGTTCTTTCAGGTCTCCACTGTTTCTCCATCTGATGCCAGTTCATGATGAAAATGGACCTGAAACAGGTTTGAAAATTAGAATTTCAAAAGTTCAGTGTCACTTATCGTGAACATAAGTCTGATACAAATTTCAGTGATTGTTTTTGGATACGGGCGCATTATATCTCAATGTCAAGTCTAATAAAGAATGTGGGAGATTTATTTGTAAGAATTTGAGCGCTGAGTCTGATTTAATCACTATTAGTATGTTTTAGTATGGTCCCAGTGTTTTGTCAAATGAAAACAAGATTTTTCTAGACTTGTAGCTGCGTATGCCACAGCTTCTTCAGTAGAGTATTCCGTTGAGACTGTGACATACGCAGCGAAACGTTCGGAAGGACCTTGTTTTCATTTCCAAAAACACTCTGGGATAATATTAAAACTTACTTATATAACTTTAGAGATAGCTGTGTGACCGATGAAGTTAGCTAAACCTGCTTATAAGTTTCGGCACGTCATGCAGAAATGATTTTTTTCTAGGTTGTCTGCCACTCTGGTGTTCATTTTACTATCCAAACAAAGATATGAAGTTATCACAGAAATTATCATACTGTAGATAACTTACTGAAAGCGTTTTGAAGTTAAATCTTGAAATCGAAAATTTTAAATGCTTATATTATCCTTATAGCAGAGCATACAAAAAGTACAAAACATTGATTACACTGCACTAAACAAAATATTATACTTCAATCTGTTTGATTTGGTTTGCTTTGGTTGGTATTTCAATCAGTTAAGAATGCTACTTAAGTGCGACAGAAACATAAGCTGTTACTCATAAGGACAAAATCTAGGACCTGATAATGTGTGCATCTAGATCAGCAGTTCATCAGTCTCCTTCTGGAAACTTTTAAGAGCATCGTAAAAAATGGAACAGTTAACGCATACAGTATGAAGTCAGAAAGTTGACTAGTAGAACGTAATGGTTTTCTTGAGTTATCTCAGAATCGGTAATCACTTTTTTAAATATGAACTTTACAAACATAGTGACTGTTGTGCACCAAATGTCCCTCCACTGGAAAAAAACATTATTTTATTTTATCCAAAGCAGAATCAGAGATTTTCTAGTAGACTGTATTTTCTCAGCAAAACTTTGTTGAACCCATTTCCGATAGCATTTCACAGCCCTTTGTAGATCTACAAAGCATGCACAGAATGCTAATGCTGAAAGTTGTCAATGTTTCAGCGAACAGGTGTTATATTTTTTCCAGTTATCGAATGTATTCTTAACTCGAGACCCTCATTCATAACATTGACGAACTAGACACTTCACCACTGATGATTGAGTATTGTTTCATTAATTTACTAGCATGAATGATTTTAATGTCAGCCATCAGATGGCATACAATGCTTATTAGACAGGGAGTTTAAGCACAGAGGATTCTGAGTCAACTCATTTCAAGAATATTACGAAAGAAAAAAAATATTCAAACTAGTAATATTCTCCATCCATAAATACCTCTGACAGTTGCATCTAGGATACATATAAAGATACATTAACCGTGCTACTTTGTTCACGGAATTTCAACATGATTATAGAAGTTTTAAACCATAAAGTTCTGGAACAAGAAAATACATCCACTACATAGGAGTTAAGACTAAGAGAAAATTCATTTTTGTAGCCTTTCAAAGAAAGGTGTGAAACTCAACAAGCATATTTTGTTTGATGACGACGTTTAGTTCAAGTGAAATTTGTCACAGAAGCTATTCGATAGCTCAGTTAATATGTTTCTTTTTTGACTGTTAAGAATGTAAATTAAGACACGAAAGAATACACTTGTGCGAAAAAATTAATTTTGGTGATATGCGGAGTCCCTACGACTGTGTTTATACACACTGATAACAAATGACAGACGATTTCCAATTGAAACGCTGAGGTGCACTAAAAGTGTAGATGATGGAAGTAATCAGAAACGTAAAGAATTTTACAAGGTGAGAACTGTCACCTGCCATCACATGAAATCTTCTGATCATCAGATGAAAAGAAGTAAGAGAAAAGGAAAGATGACAGCTGAGAACTAGTTATTTATGATGGCACTAAGACTATACAGAAAAGAAAAAATTAAGAATACCATCATCGGGTTATCTTTTTTTTCGATTCTTTTCTGGTTGTCGCATTGTCCAATGTTGTAATTGATTGCTATTCAATCAACGTCATTTTGTTCTAAGAAAAACCTATCGTACCCCACTTGTGAACCATTGTACTACATTGGCATGCGAACCGCACACATATACGTAATTGTCAGACCACTGATTATTTTAAGGGAAGTAAGCATCACTTCTATCTCTTGCTCATCAGTCGTTGAGTTGTGAAGTTTGTAACTCTTCGGATTTCTGAATTTTGTGTGAGATTTAGAATTACATGCGAAATTTGCAACATGTTCAGTCAGGACTATAAGAGACTTAAAACCATTAGATATCAGATTGTAACAAAACATCTATCAAGTCTTTCTTGCTTCTGATGAATTTTGCGAGCGGTTCCGTTTTATAAGTATCCATCTCTAGAGTAAACATGTCTTTAAAACAAGGTTGATTCATTTTAAATATTTAGTGGTTTGAATCAACTAGCAGAAAAACCTAGCTCCACGTTTCCTATTTCTTTTCACGTATCAGCAAATTTTGTCTGCAACCTCAAACAAACTAGTGTTTTCTCAGTGATTTGAAACTGTATTACCTAATGCTGAAGTAGCTACCAGTTGAATGTTAAAATTTCACAATCTGAATGTGACTAAATTAACTGACGTAAATTTGTGAGTACATTTTTACGAAAATAAGAAGAAAACCTGTTCCGTTCATCAGCTTAAAAAATTTAGAAGGCCTGATTTAGTCTATTTAGTCCATTTAAATAACATGTTATTTCTATTTTTTCAATTCATCTATTAGATAAGCGGTTACCAGTGAAAAGATAAAACCATTAGATAACAAACACTAGATTTTCTGGATTATTTTTATGCAAGTTTCATGACTGCCTCTTCAATTTATTTGGTGTACAACCTGGTTGGTAAAACTTCAAACAAGGTCTAACTTATTCCTAATCTTCAATAGGTTTATTACCTTTGGATGAAACATTTACATACCTCACAGATGCAGGATCTTTACATAATTCCACATTCGGTCTAAATGTGCGTAGATGTAGCCTTGTTTGAGTAATTTTTAAAGGATCGTCTTTTGCACGAATTGCTTCTCTCAGTTCGTTCAAATTATGCTCCATCAATGAGATTTCACATAATACCTTAAAATGTAACAACAAAATAGTGAATTCAGTGATGAGATAGATAGTTAAGTGCAATTAATTTTGAAACAACTTCTTTAAAGTTTTTAACTGTGTATTAGTTCAAGGTATTTATTACCATGTCAGTTTGTCACAAATATACTAACTTTTAATTATCCATTTTAGAACGATAAGTAACTGAAGCATTGCAATAATCGGTGGAAAACATTCTACAAAGGTACGCCAACTAGTGTACATTATACTTTCAAACATAACTACCACCTAATTCAGGCATTACAACACTTTTACCAAAAAAACAAAGCTTTGAAGAGCATGAAACTTACTTTAGGAGGTAAAATATACTACACTTTTGCTATAAAGTACACTTCCTTCTAAGTGTGTTACAAAAAGGGTATGACTTAATGATACAGTGATAAACTGCAGTCCTCAGTAGTTTATCCAAATACCAGATGCTGTTGCAAACAGCTCGAAGACACGGTTACCTGAAAAATAAATTGTCTTCTATCCATGTAATTGCGATGACACAAAGTGTTCTAGATATTACTATCAACATCCACTTGTTTTTTGAAAGGGTTTATGCTATAGTGTGCAGGAAGATTGACAAAATCTCCATAAAAAGTCGCATATGCCTAAAGCCCTTTTCAACCAATCGCTTCGCTTCGAAGTCTCCGGAAAAAACACGTGAACCAACGTGTAAGTACCAGGTCGGTTGAAGAGAAGGAAAATCAATAGAATTTTAATCTAGTAGGTCTGGAAATAGCCTAGAACATTGTAATATATATAAACAAGGTATTTTGTATATATTGATCACGTTTAAAGTCGTCGTTGTAAATAAACCTGTTTTATTACCGCTTTTTCTATTTGTGTAGAAAATGAGTGACCATTAGGGGGGGACCTGACGGTATTTGTACAGGCGTCGACAGTTACATGATTCAGGCTCTATCAAGTCACTGGTAAAGATATAAAAAGTGGAGACAGGATTCATATAAGTTTAAAATTCATTAAAGTTTTCCGTGTAGTCGCAAACAATAGTTATTGCAAATCACATCATTTAAACTGAGTAAGCTTAGATTCTGAATGTAAATATTAAAAGTGGTCATAGTAAGTTGTTTAAACACAGTAGTCAAAATATCTTCTGATGATCACTTACATGAGTTATACGCGAGCTCTAAACCATTCACACCATACGATCAAAAGCAAAATCATTCAACTCTTCACCTAGACAAGTGAGTTCAGAATAGTTCGAACTACGAAACTGGGTGCCACCGACAGATGCTTACAATTAGTTGAAAAATTCATACTAAATGAATTGATGAGTCCCTAAAATTATTGTCAAAATTGTACTTCATCTCCAGAATTTAGTTAGTGCTAGGTAAGACACATTTACAAGGAGAAACGGAAGCATATTCTCAGCAACATAAATTCATTGTGAGAGGATTGATAATGCGATATCTCATTTTTCACTATCCAAAGTATGTCTATCAAACAATGCAGTTTTACTATTGAATTTGGTGTACTGACAAGGATTCCCATTACATTTCATTGCTACATTTCTAGGAAGCATCAAGCGACCACAATGTTTAAAGTAATTTGTCTCAGTTTTCAACCACTTCATTCATCTGCTGAATCACAGGTAGGTCGCTGCATCATTTTACTTGTCAGTGATAAAGGTAGGGAGACGAAACAAATCTTCTTGCCAGATTGATATGACAGAGAGATCCCTAGACAAACAGATGTTTATTAATATATATATATATATATATATATATATATATATATATATATATATATATATATATATATATATATATCCCGACCGATAGCTGCTACCTTGACGTGGTGGTCGGGCTTGCATATCACAATGACCCAACGAGCTATGCTGGTGGAACGCTTGTTCCCTCGAGGTCCTACCATACCAGAAAGGTCTGTTGGGTAGTGGTTAGACGAAAAGCAGTTACCGTCATAGTGTAAATTGCTACACTATGATGGGGGTCTGAGGGCGAAGTCGTACTGCTGCTAGCTGGATGGGGTGTGACAGCAGTAAGGTGTTTCCCTTGGATGACCAGCAGTGCCAAGCTGATGCTGCCTTCTCAGTGGAAGGGGGGGTTAGAAAAGGTCGGCCCCAAAAATAACACACTCCACCACGCCCCACGGTCTGCCGGGCCGGCGGTGTTGGTTCACTTGTCGTTTCCTTTCGCCCATCCGGCCCCAAAAATACAAAAATTCAAAATAATCATACTCAAAAGGCTGGGTGTGACAGGCCTCAAGCAGATGTCCGATGGGCTCTGCGGTCACACAAATCTCTTTCAGGTACCTTAAGAAGAAATAGCCTTCCACGGTGTGGGCAGCCGGGAAGTGTCAACCGCCCTCACAACTCTGTCAGCACCCAAGTTTCTTCTGACTGCTATCCTCCTCCTCCATCATTACCTTCTAATCTTCCTTCACGTCTCTTAATTAATGATGCTGCATCATCTTCAATTTCTCCTACCTCTGCAGCCTTCGACAACGATCTGAGTCCACAGAACAGCATCCCTGGTCTCCTTAAACCACGCTCCAAATTACATATTGGAGCCTTCAATGTCCGCACCCTCCGTCAAATTGGCCAACAGGCTTCGTTGGCAAAGACTCTAGCAACTCGGGCATGGATGTGTGCTGTGTTTGTGAGACACGCATACAGGACCCAAGTGTGGTTATTCACCTGACCTCTCCTGACCAATCTGGTGAATCTGCAAAATTCACCCTTCGAGTTTCTGGAGATTCGATAGCTAGCTCTCGTGGTCTTGCAGGTGTAGGTATAGCATTAAGCACCAGGGCAGAAAACTCACTACTAGACTGGATCCCAGTTGATAGTCGCCTCTGCGCTATGAGGCTGAACGGCACAGTGAGAACTAAAAGGAATAGTGAGACTCGCCGTTGTCTCTTTGTAATCTCTGCTTACGCACCCACTGACTGTAGTTCGGATGAAGTGAAGGACGAGTTCTACCATAAACTGTCTAACCTCCTCTCGAAAGCCAAACGTTCGGACGTAGTGGTTGTTGCAGGTGACCTCAACGCACAGGTGGGTAGACTGAGTGAGGCAGAAAGGCACTTAGGTGGCACTTTCGGAATCCCAGCTGAACGTACAGATAACGGTGATCGCCTATTACAACTATGCTCAGATAACCGCCTATTTTTAGCCAGCACAAATTTCAGACATAAAGAAAGGCACTGTCTGACCTGGCGTCCACCGAGCTCGACTCAGCGATGGACACAGATAGACCACATTGCTATTAGTCATCGCTGGAGAGGATCGGTGGAAGACTGCCGCTCCTTCTGGAGTACGTGTTTGGACAGCGATCATGCGTTGGTCCGAGCACGTATATGCCTGCGTCTCAATGGACGTAGAAAAAATTTGGCAACAAAACCACTACGAGTTCTGCTGGACAACGAAAACACCAAAGCCGTGTTCAGTGAGAAGTTGGCTAGGCAGTTATCGGAACAAAAGACTGTCACTCATCCAGAAGAAGCTTGGTGCCATCTTCAGTCTACTGTAAAAGCAGCACTGGAGACTGTAGCCGACTCCAAGATAATGGCTAAAAAGAGCCAGTGGATATCAGCAGCTTCTTCCAAACTAATGGATGCACGTGAATGCATCCCTGCAGGCTCTGAGTACAATGAAGAGCGAGCGCAACTTAAAAATAACTGACGAAAAGTCTGCGCAACGATCGTGAACAGTGGTGGGCAGCAAAGGCTAAAGAGATGGAAAAGGCAGCGGCGATCGGTAACAGTAGACAGTTATTTAGACTTATTAAGGAGACTGGGGGGAAATGGTCAACAACAGTTAGTGAGGTTATAGCGGAGAAGGACGGATCGGCGATTCACTCGCAGGGAAGGCGACTGGGACGATGGGCAGAACACTTTGAGGAACAGTTTAACTGGCCTCCAGCCACCATTGCGCTGCCCGCTATCCAGTCGGACCCTGAATGGGACATAGAGACAGGTCCCCCAACACTAGAAGAAGTTGAGAAAGCGGTAGGTAGCCTGAAACGGGGAAGGGCAGCAGGACCAGACGGACTACCTGCTGAGGTATACAAGAATGGTGGTAGAGTTCTCTTAGTCAGGCTAACGGAAGTGTTAGCCAGTATATGGGAATCAAATACGATCCCCTCCGACTGGTCTAAGTCACTCATCATCCCAGTCTTCAAGAAAGGCGAGAAGTCCTCTTGTGATAACCACAGAGGAATCAGCCTGACAAACATAGTGTCTAAGATCCTAAGTTCTATAATTCTCCGACGCCTGAGTGGAGCTCGGGAACAGCAAGCCCGAGAAAACCAGGCAGGCTTTAGACCTGGCCGTGGATGTATCGACCAAATATTCACACTGCGCCAGGTCCTGGAACATAGGCATGCTTACAGACGCCCGACAATAGCTGTATTTCTCGACCTGAAGGCGGCATTTGACTCCGTTGATCGAGAAGTCTTATGGCAGTGTCTGTCACTGAAAGGCGTGCCTAGTAAGTACATCACCTTATTGAAAGCTCTCTACTCGAACACTTGTGGGCATGTTAGAGCCTATGGTGAGTTGTCCAGGGAGCTATACTCATCAAGTGGTGTCCGTCAAGGATGCCCACTATCCCCATTCTTATTTAATTTTATCATAGATATTCTTATGGAGGTTTCCCTCTCGTCACCTAATTACAAAGACGTTGACCCGATCACAGGTGAATTTTCCTTAGATCTAGAATATGCAGATGACATAGTCCTGTTAGGTGAAGACGCTGACAAGATGCAGAGTCTTCTGAACACTTTGAGTGGGAATTTGAGAATGTTTGGGATGCGATTTTCACCACCCAAATGCAAATTTTTGCTCCAGGACTGGTCTTCAGCGGTACCGCGGTTAACAATAGAGAGTGAAGTGGTTGAGTGTGTTGACCACTTCACTTACCTGGGAAGTAGGATCAACCCGGTGGGTTAGTTGCCGATGAGATTTCTGCACGGATACAAAAGGCTCGATTGGCTTTTGCCAATTTGCGCCACCTATGGCGCCGCCGTGATATTCGTTTGTCTATTAAGGGTCGCGTGTACTGCACAGCAGTCCGCTCTGTTCTACTGTATGGCTGTGAAACATGGCCATTGAAAGTGGAAGACATGAGAAGGTTACAGGTATTTGACCACCGTTGCCTTCGTAGTATAGGACGTATTCCGTGGTGTCACCATGTGAGTAATGCAGAAGTTAGGTGTAGAGTTTTAGGGAGAAGAGGTAAGTCAGTCGACGAGGTTGTGAACCTTCATCGACTGAGATGGTTGGGACACGTACTACGTATGCCTAGTCACCGATTGCCTCGTCACACAATGTTGGCTGAGGTGGGTTCAGGCTGGAAAAAGGCCCGAGGTGGCCAGACTAAAACATGGCACCAATGTATGAAGTCTCTGACTGTTGGTTTAAGCCATGTAGGACGATGCAGACTAGGTGGTTGGGGTCCACGGGACAAGAGGAACCAGTGGTTGGAGACCCTAGGTGATATGGCTCAGAACCGAAGTCAGTGGCGCAGATGTATACACACATTATCCTCATCTTAACAACGCTATACCGAATCTCACTATTTTGTCACTCCTCTTTCCTTTCTTCTCGTACTTTATATTTCTTTTGACTGCATTCACTTATCTTCATCCTTCACCTCACTACCTTTTTACTTGATGTGCTGATATGAGGTGTGGCAACTCGGACCGTTACGCAGTAATGCCTGGTCCTATGTTGATAATGATATATATATATATATATATATATATATATATATATATATATATATATATATATATATATATATATGAATTCCATGTAAAACAGTTTAAGGCTACAAGGTCGAAAGCTTACATTTTTCAAATTTTCTTCCAATGTTGCTTTAGCTGCAATTAACTGATTCAAGTTATCTTGGAAAGCAGCATTTACACGATCAAACTGTTGTCTCATATCACGTGATGTGTCCACAATCAAATTCATATCAATGAACGTAAATCCATACTAGCAAAACGTTCAGCTTCAGCTCGTGTAATCACATGGTTTGCATCTTCGGCCCAACTTTCTACAGTTGACATATTTTCCTAGTACAGTAAATGAAATGATTTTAGATGGAAAATTATTGCTTAACAAAGTGTAACAAAGACCTAGGTGGTCTTGAAATATGGTAGTACAAAATAACAACATTGTAAATTTTAAACAAAATATGTATCGCTATACGAAAAGCATAAACTCTAGATCTAAAAAACTAAACTCTCTGGCCACTAGTATTTGCAGTCGCATGAATTGCAACCTCAAAGTAAGCACTTTATCACACCGCTGCAATCAAATGTTAGTAACATCATGTACATGTTTTGCCTTCTACTACTGTAATACTAGGTTTTCAAGCACTCTTTATCTTAACATATTAGGTTTAATACTGATTTTACAGCGGTAAAGGTTGGTGCTAACTCACGAAGCCATCTCCCTAATTACGATTATAATACCGCCGAATTTCAGGTCATATATTCTACGCATTTCATGAAAACAGTGTGATAATTTGCATTCTTGAAGCCTAATAGATAAGGTGTCTATTGATCCTAGATGATCTATAAAATTGCTTAGCGGTTCGCAGTCAGCTTGGCATTATGACGTGTGCAGTAAATCTTCTTAATCTAGTTCATTAACGAGACAAATTACCTGAAGTATTTCACAAACATGAACACAATATTCATATTTTGAATACGAAGATCCTACACTGTCATTTTATATTAATCTGGTTTATCTGGTTCCTCCTGGAAACGATGTCGAAAATGTTCTCCGTTACTAAAATACCTGCATTTCACTTCTGATTTCTAAGATGAACACCAACCTTCAACAAAATCTTCTTCGTGAAAGCACTCAATCTTGGGGTTTTGCTTTGCATTAACTCAATAGAAAACCAAAACTCATTTTTCCATTGCCTCCAGAGATCGCGATATATGCACCATCCATTTTCGTGCACAATTGTCAAAATCTACCTTCATCTTAGTTTTCTAGGGAAGTCTCTAAGCCTCTTTAGATCACAATATTTTAAAATTGACTGAAATTTTTAAATATCAGAAAAATTTCCCCTTTTTGGAAAAACAAGCTATACTTGTATCGAATGAATGATAGATAATCATTCATCAGATCTCTAAACTTTACATGGGTAAAGGCTCCATATTCGAACTTCATCAAATCTAACTACAGCAAGCCACTAGTGAGCATTGAATATAAACTCAATTCGTGATTTGTTGGGATTGAATAATTGACTGCATAGTGAGAAGCCCTAAAGTATAACAAAACAAGTGTTCACTTCTTCTAAGTTTTCAGTGCTTTGGAAACTAATGTCAGTTCTTCATAACAGAGTATTTTGTAATCAACCAGTTAGTCCTCACAAACGACCAACCCAATTATTTAAAACTTCGTTTCCAAGTAACCGATAGTTACCTGTGATTGACATATACGACCATGCAACAAAACAACAATTCCTAGTTATCATTTGACTATCTGAGATAGCCGTAGTTTGGGAGACTAGTACTTATACTGAGTGATGACTGAAGGTGAGATGAAAATCTGGACCGCGGCCGGACTCGAACCCCGCGATCGCTGGTTCGAATCTGGCAACGGTCCAGATTTTCATCTCACCTTCAATCACCATCTAGCATAAACAATTCTTAGCCTTAAAATTGTAAATGGTTGAGATTTATTGCTACATGGGAAACCTGTCGTTTTAGCGTTTCTAGTTCTCGGCTATTCTTCCTCAAGCAGAAGGAAAAACACTTTTTCACCCACTCACGAAATCGTTAAAAATATGAAAAGGTATCTCTCAGCGAATAATGAGACAAATATGTGTGTTCAAACAAAATGTGTGCACCCCTTTTGTCCGCCCTAGACCATAACAGGGTTCTTTATGAACTTTGATACCAAAACTTCCCATTTTAACCACCCAACCTTTTGTTCTACAATTTCACCGCTATTAAACTGGTAACCATTCATTTTCTTCTTTCTTAGTTTGTACCCCTCGTACCACTACCAGTAGTCATTGTCAACCGTGACGTAAAAGTTCACATTTGTTATTCGTTCTTTCCGTATAACAATCGCTTGACTTTTTACCCTGCATGAATATAACTCATCGCTGCATAATTATTCTTTGACCCTTAGTAAACACCCAAAGAAGTGAAGAAGAGTGTGCGTGCAAAGACAAAAGACACTTCAACGACACACTTGAAAGTGAAGCAGAACAGGCTGCTGGTAGGAGACACCTGACAACATTATATCAAATAACCAGGTCACTATCCGGAAGAGGTCAACTCAGACGAGACCAATGAAAGATAGTGAAGGAAAGCTAGTTACCAAAGAAGAGAAACGAAGGAAACGATGGGCTAACCATTTCAAAAAGCTCTTGAATCGACCACCACCAACACCTGCAACTCGTCCAGAAATACCACCAGCAGCCCAGCCATTGAACTGTCAGTGAACACAAACACTCCGACAAAAGTGGAAGTCCTGAATGCCAGAAAGCTACTGAAATGTGGGAAAGCAGCAGTACCAGATGGAATTTGTCCTGAAGCACTGAGAACAGGCTCAGAGACAACAGCGAACATGCTCACACCACTACTGCAGAAGGTTTGCAAGGAAGGAAGGGAAGGTACCTGCTGATTGATTGGAAGAAGGGCTACCTCGTCAAACTCCCGAAGGAGGGAGACCTCAGTGTTTGCAAGAACTTGCGAGGAATCATGCTGCTGTCCACCCCCAAGCAAATTATGATGCCACATCATCCTGGAGAGACTACAAGATGCACTGGATTCAAAACTACGACCGGAACAGGCTGGCTGGCTGACTGACTGACTGGCTTCGGGAGGAACAAATCATGTGTGGATGAAATTGCAACGCTATGCTACGCATCATCATAGAACAGAGTATAAAATGGCAGTCAACTCTCTACCTCAACTTCATCGACTTTGAGAAGGCCTTCGACAGCGCCGACCGAGAAGTAATTCGGAAACTGCTTCAACACTGTGGTGTGCCACTAATCTTTATCAACCTCATTCAACAGCTATGTGAAGACGCCACATGCCAAGTGATCCACAATGGAAAGCACATTGACGCCTTTGAAGTGAAGACAGGAGTGAAACAAGGCTGCCTACTATCACCCATGACATTCTTGATTGTGTTCGACTGGACTGGATCATGCAGCAAACCGTGAGGAGCGAGAAGATGGACATACGCTGGCTGGACCGATGAAAAGACCTCAGAAAAAGATTTGGATTCCGCCCTCGATGATGATTTATGTCCAGTGTCTTGTCGCACAAACTCGAAGATCTACAGGCGAAGACTAACAAGTTGACCGAAGAGGCAGCGAAGACGGGACTTCAAGTGAATGTGGAGAAGACAGAGGTGATGAAGATACCAAAACAACAACAGCATCAACAACAAGCACTAATCACCACTAACGGGAGAAACCTAAAGGAATTAGTCTCTTTCACCTACATACCTAGGCAGCAGTCTTTCATCTACTTTGGCAGCATACTTTCAACTGCAGAGGGCGGCACAGACGAGAATGTCATGACCAGGATTGGAAAACCAGCAAGACAGGCTTTCATCAATCTGAAATCAGTGTGGAGATCTGCTGCACTCAGTATAAAGCATGAATAAGATCCAGATTTTCAACACCAACGTCAGTCAAGTCAGTGTTTCTGTATGGCTCAGAGACTTGGCGTGTCACGAAAAGCACTTCCAACAAGCTACAGACATCCACCAACAACTGCCTACGCTGGCTCGTTACTGAAGCTCAACTGTCCAGGATAGTAAGGATAAGCAACAAGGACCTCTGACTGGCAACAAACCAACCAATAACCTATCGCTCAACAAATATGCAGAAGGAAGTGAAGGTGGATTGAGCATGCACTGAGAAGACCGTTCGGGGACATCACACGCCAGGCTCTCGTGTAGAAACTAAAAGGGATACGACGAGTTGGGCGTTCGAATGTGACATGGAAGAGATCGTGTGATGAAGAAATGAGATTTTCTGGGCTGTCGTAGAGCCGGGTTCAAAAGATTGCCGAAAACAGAGTGAAATGGTGACGTGCTACTGAAGCTTTATGTTCCACTAGGAAGCCAAGGGACAAATAAATATAATAATAAAACACACACTCATGCCCCAGCTAGATGTGCGTAAATGAATCATTAGCTCTAGATCTTGTCTCTTCATTTCGTAATTGTTCTGCAAATACTGATTTCAGTGTACAACTAACACATACCTGTGACCTGGGAGGTCAGCCAGGATGCCAACTGAAGACCCTGAGTGATAGTAGCGCTATGTCACGAATTAGCAGAATTTAGAAACTGTGAACCATTGAGCTCTAACATAGTGGCTGGATGGCTAATGCGTTCATCGTGAGACTTGGTCTTGAGTTCCATCCCTGACCGAACCGTGGGTGCATATTGCTGAGGAGTCCTATTTCAGAACAAAACGTTCGTTCAGTGCTTCTAAGTTTTCAGTGGTTTTCCAACCGTTATCAGTCCGTGATGAGTGCTACTTCATAATTTCTATTCTACCTGATATAAACTCATATCCATTTGATCCCCACACATCTGTAACACTGACTGATTTGATACTTTACATTATGCTTTACTTTCGCTATTGTATTCCACCTATTCTCATGAATTTATAGCTGCAGAGCCTGAAGAAAAGTTATTAAAACTGTCCGCTCAAACTATTCTTCTTCGGAAAAATGTTTCCCAGAACATGATCGCTCGAAAATTTGTCTCTTTTCTACACCACGTTTTTCTAAATTTTGAAGCATGCAATTCCAGCACTAACAAGTCTGATGAAACTTTATATTTTCCAATGAAAGTTTATTGCATTTTTGAGATGAATGGGGATTTTTTAATTTAGAGGTAGTATTCATCGTCGTAGGTGCGGACAGCCAGGGAGTCCCATACTACGATGAAACAGCTGTCCAGTGCTCCCAGATTTTCAATTGTTTTCCAAGCGATGTCAGTCCGTGATGAATGCTACCTCTGAACTGAAATCTTATTACTTCAAAATGCTATTACTTCACAAAAGCTACTTCAGATAACGAAAGAATTTCATTTGACTTTTATTACTTGTCAGCGCGTACATACTTTATGAAATGTTAAAAACGACCTGTTAAGTTGCACTGCTGAACAGCATGAATATTTAGAAAGCATTATGATATGCAAAGTTCAGTAGCCAGATAAGAGGGACCCAAACGTTATACAGTCGTATCTTCCATTTGACGTCAACATCATTACCACCGTAGTCAACTTCAGCTCACATAGCCTCATATTTAACTTCATGTAAACAAACTGAACGACTATTTTCTTTGTTGACGTCTCACTACCAGTAGGGGAAATAGTTCTTGCTCTATGCTTTATAATTACCTATAAGTTGTTGACGATTTACTTATATTATTTTATGAAGTTAAGTAAATTATTTTTAAAAGCCTACTTGATATAGCGCAACTCCAGCATAAAATTGTTTATTAGTAGAACAGTTTTTTAGGTCTCCTGCTTTCGTATCAATGTCTTCAGCTTCTTTCTTATCACTCCAGTTGATTTCTAATGCTCCTTTTACGGCACGATTTCGGCTGTGAAGAAGAAGATAAACGTTGGGACCTAGTGAGAAACAAACCGATATTATTCAGAACTGAAATTGTACACCCTAGTTGCATCAACTTTCCGGTAGATTCAAGGAAAACTAGAGCTGATAGACTCAATCCGGTGAACGGCCGCACGAACTGTATTATTTCAAATTCACATGACGAAGTGCATATAAAAATATATAAGCCGAAATTCACAACTGATTCGACACCTTTTGACCTATATGTCAACTCTTAAGATAAATCCTTTCTTCTTTACTACTACAAGCAGCTCTTCCTGTCGCCACTACTTCTATAGCGTGTATTTTCCTGAGCAACGTTTTAGTGCAACTGTCTGTTTACTGATTGTAAATACAACTGTTAAGTCTCATGACAAAGTTTTTGAAATGAAACATTTTTCTGTGATAAAATCTTGTTCTTCTTACAAATTTTGTTCATGTAGGGAAAACTTTTTATTTCAAATGTTGATTGAGAAATACACTGGATCTGCCCTAACGATAGTTTACACTCCTGATACTTTTTGTCGTCAAACACCAGTTATTTTACTGACCATTACAACTTAACGTAATCACTTCAAAAATCAAGAAAATTCATGAAGTAAGTCCATATACCTCTGTTCGAAAAACCCTTATGTCAATATGAACAGCTTATAATTGTTCACAGTAATTACTACATGTCACTCAGACAGCGAGAAATTTATAGTTTGGAAATATTTCATCCAACTGAGCTAAAATCAAAAGTAAAGTGAAGAAAGCCAACTGAAAATATCAGCCTATATAAACCAAACACGAGTATTTAAAGATGAAACCACCTAAAGTAACCTAATTCAGTAACAAACCTACCTAATTTGTTTTTCTGCTTGTTCAATTGCATTCTTGACCAACTTCTGAACATTTTGTATAAGTTCCACCTCCTTTTTATTCCCATAGTATTATTTTACCAAAATTGCATAAATGAAGAAACGTAAACGGCGAATAGAGCAAACAAGCAATGTTTTTAGGGATATTGTAGCTACGTAGAATGATCAAAAAGATGTTTTGAAAAAAACAATCTTCAACTTCCTAACGAAATTACTTTTCCTTCGTAAATTTATATTTCATTATGGGGTTCACTTCAAGATATCATGTTCTGTGTGAGAATACAAATCCTAAGATTATTTATTAAGTAAAAAACAAGTAAGCTGTCATTAGTGATTACTCATATGTTGAATTCACCTCTGAAAGTTAGAATGTGGATCAAAACTTTAGCACATTTTGTACGCTGATATTCACACTACTCAAAACTTTCAGCGCAAAAACATTACTATGATTTGCATAGGGGAATCTTTATTCTATTCAGAGTACTCAGTTTTAAAATTGAAATAGAGTAAACATCTTCCTATTTTTTATTTCAGAATACTTACGGAAAATAATCAAATTGATGCCCTGTCTAAAAACATACTAAACAGCATGGTCTACACGAAAGTGAAAAATGTGTTCATTGACCTCCCGGTGAACATATAGACAAAACTGACTGACTGACAAAATCAACGTAGAACCTCGCACACAAGTGCAACGGTTCAAGTTAGGTAGAAAAAGAGTGATATCAGGGTAGATAAAGGTGTATGACAGAATTAACAGTTTAAAGATAACAATTACTGCGAATATCTAAGCTTTAGAATACGTCAAGGAGTGAATATATCTGGGCTGATGTGACAGATTGATGTTAAGCCATATCATCGAAAGTCCACAACCACTGATTCCTTCTGCCTCAGGGACTCCAACCAGACAGTCTGCATCTCCCTATACGACTCAGACCAACAGTAAGAAGCTTCCTCGACTGGTGCTACATCTTTGTATGGTCACCCTGAAACCTATTTCAACCTAGTCGATTTTCCCCTAGCATTTCATACTGAGGTAAGTGGTGGCTCATCATGCGCAGTACATATCCAAGTCATCTCAGTCAACTAAGGTTCACAACCTCATCAACTGATTTGCCTGTCCCGCCTAGTACCCTTCTCCTGACGTCAACATTTCTCATACGGTGATTCCACCAAACGCGTGCAATGCTAGGAAGATACCTGTGATAATAACCCTGTAATCACATCATGTCTTCTACCTTCAACGGCCATGTCTCACAGCTGTATAAGAGAACAGAACGGACTGCAGTGCAGTATACTGGTTCTTTGGTAGGTAGTCGGATATCTCACCAATTGGGGCCACTGACAACATAAGTTGACAAATGCTGAATGGGCCTCTTCTATTCGAGATGAGATTTCGTCAACAACAAGCCGATTCGGGTTCATGACAAGTAAGTGAAGTGGTCGACGCAATCCGCCACTTCACTCCCTATCATTAAATTGTGAGGACTTGAGGCAGACCAGTCCTGTAGCATCATCTTACATTTGACAGGTGGCAGCGTGACACATGTCAAACATACTCAGGTTTCTGTTCAATGCGTTCAGAAGACCGTGCATTATGTTAGGGTCTTCAGCTAGCAGGACGATATTGTCTGTATACTGCAAGTCAACCAGATGACATCGAATGAGTAGTTCAATCCTCGTGAAATCAGATGTACATAAGGTTATGTCCATTAGTATTTGTATGAAAATGTTAAGTAGGAAGTGACAGTTAGGGACTCTGGTGGACACCACTAGTTGTCATCAGTTTACATGACAACTCTCCATAAGCTCGAACATGGCTGGATGAGTTCAGGTGAAGGATTCTGATTGGCGTTATGTACTTGCTCGGTACTCCCTTCACAGTCAGATATTGCAACAACTCTTCAAAGTAGATAGATGCAAATGACTCCATCTCCAGGTCAAGAAATATGGCAGATGTCAAACACTGGCCGGTAGGTGTGCGTCTGTTCCAAAACTTGTCGTAGGGTGAAAATATGATCGATGCACCCTCTTTCAGCTCTGTCTGAAACCTGTCTGGTTTTCCCGAGTTTGCTGTTCTCCAGGTCCAGTTAGGTGTCGCATAACTATCAACCTTTGGATTTTTGAGACAATATTAGTCAAACTAATTCCTTTTTGGTCGTCATAAGATTTTTCCCCTTCTTATAGACTGAGATGATCAGGAAAGAACACCAGTCTGACGGCACTACTTCTAATTCTCATACACTACTTAGTACCTCCGTCATTCTAAGCACCGATTTCCTACCTCCATCTTTGAAAACTTTAAGTAGCACTGTAAGGGTTCTGCTGTTTTGGGTCGTTTAAGCTTCGATACAGCTTTCTCAACTTTAAGGAAAGTTGGAGGACCGGCATCTACGTCCGGTTCAGGTTCGGGCTGTATGTTGGGCAACAGAAGCGTTGCTGTTGCCAAGTTGGATTGTGTCTAAAAGTGTTCTCCTCAACGTCCTAGCCTACTGTCTTCAGAGGCTATCAGCATTTCATCTTTTCCGGTTATGGTTTTACTCCCCATCTTATTTTTTCGATGTCCTTAATAAGTCTAAATAGTCGCTGCGTATTACCCAAAGCTGATGCCTTCCCGATCTCTCTGGCTTTAACCACGCACCAATGCTCGAGATCATTGCGAAGGCTCTCGGTCAATTTACGCTTGAGTTGCTTTCGCTCTTCATAGAGGTCAGAGTTACCTGAAACTAGTCTTCTTGAACTAATCAGTTAGAATGAGGTCGCGGAAACCTAATGAGGCTTACTAACCTTCGGGTTTGGTTAACCGACTGTCTTTACTGTTGTCTCTAGTGCAGCCTCACTATCACGCCAGGTTTTCTCAGGATGCTCATCGCTGTCATGTTCAGATAAATACTCGGCTATCTGCCCCCTTAATTTAGACTTGACATTCTGGTCTTTCAATCCACTATGGACAGGCTCTACAATCGCCTGTTTCCTGCTAACAGAGAATTGCCAACGTACATGAGCAAGTACCAACCCATGATGAGACTTCAAACAGGTACGCCAGAAAGAGCGCTCATTCTTAGTCGGCCCTCTCTAACTAAGGCATACAGCAATATGATCTGTTTGTGTCCATCGTTTGTTTGATACCAGTGGAAGCCATGTGAGACAGTGTCTCTCATCATGCGCAAAGTTAGTGCTGACCAGAAACAAGTTACTGTCGGGACGAAATTGCAACAGGTGATCATCATTGTCGGTTCGTTGTCAAAGAATTCCGTAAATACCTCTGAGATGCCTCTCTGAGTGGCTAAGCTTCCTGACTTGAGCGTTAAAATCATTTAATATTATGACTAAACCTGAAGTTTTGCTTTCTGTGGCTTTTTGGATCATCCGTATTACAGTCGGGGGGGGGGGGGGGCATAGTCGGAAATTATGAATAGGCATCGTTTAGTTTCACTAGCCTTCCTAGTTCTCACAGATGCATTCAGTCAAACAGCGGATAGTTTGCTTTACGTCTTGCCACCATACAACAAACATTTCTGGCAGGATGGACTGTCGAAAGAGCAAGGGTTCCACCAGCATAGCTAGTTGGGTCATTGTGATATGCCATCCCGACCACCACGTCAAGGTGGCAGCTAATAACCAGGACGGATAGAACTACCCTCTTTTTTAGGGAGAATCACAAACTCTAAAGAACTGGTATGCTGAGGTGCTTGTAAATTTTTGTGCAAAAACCACTGGTTCGAATATTTCAAGTGATACTTGATGCAATGTCTATACAATATATGATGAATATTATCATCTAAAAAAAATTTTCATTGACACTGTTCTTTATTGACTTTCTATCAGGTCAAGTGAGAGTTTCAGATGACTTTCACTCATGAAAACAATCTAGAAAATAGAAAAGGCAATTAGGTTGAAAGAGTTGGGAACTAACTGCAATGAAACATTTGTACACAAAAAGTGTAATAGGGTTATGAAGAAGGTTTCAAAGTAAGAGGGGATAAAAAAACTCTCCAGATTTATCATGTACAAAGAGAGCAGCCGGTTGGCGTAGAAGAATTTCGAATTAGTTCTAGATCAAACATTCGGAAAAACAAAAGGTACATACACCTAGTGTTTTATGCAATGAAGTTTGAGAGACTGGCTTCTCTCTGCTAGACCCTTTGACATGGAAAGTATAAAAAATTTGGTTTAAGTTCCGGAACAGTAGTAAGTGCATAGGAGAATTAATTCACCAATAATTTTGAATTTAGACTACAAATAATGGCTAATTTTAACCTTCCATGGGCAGGTAACTTGAGAACAGGAAATATCTATCATCTTTAATTCAGAATGGAAGTTTATATTACAGACAGGAAATGCGCCAAAACCTACGACTGTGGCTAAATAGGTGGCTCATCTTTCAGATTTGATGTGAGTTTTTCGCTAAAACTTGTTTTGGTGAATTGTTGCCGAAAAGCATGAACATTTCCGTCGACTTTGAAAGTAATATTCGTTCTCTAGTGTATTTTTCCGGTTTACCTTATAAAAACAAAGCTGAAATATACATAAAGCTTACCAACCTTACTGCTGCTAACGCGTAGAACTCTGTCCCATAACGCCATTTATCTTTGTTTCACTCTTTATTAACAGTATGCCACCTGAAGTTTGGAATCAGATTCGATTGAAATGCTTTCACCGACCGGAGGCATATTCGTACACTAAACAATGAGCCACTCCTACTGAATGAAGACTAGTGATAATACCTAGCAGTCCAAGCCTCGGTAGGTGAAGCTGGGTTTGAGCGCATGGTCCGTTAGTCGAAAGTCAAATGACTAAAGAAAGGACAGTAATAAAGCACCTATCTGAGGAGTTCATTTATGAAACACAACCAGTTTACTTCGTGCTGGATAAAATCATTTTAAAAAGCAATGAATCATCTGTAGTTTTTAGGATAAAACTTACAGCATACAGTTCCGTTTCTACAGTGTCGACAACTTTGTCAATTCCTCTTCTATTTTCCCTAGTATTTAAGTTTTCAGTGGTTATTTGCAAGGGAACATCAGTCTTTAACAAAAACGTCTGCAGTCTATCTTTTTCTTTTATAAGGAAGGATGTCTCCTGTACGATTTCATTTATCTCTCTTTCAAGCTCTTGCTTCCAAAAGAGTATATCGTGAAGCCTTTCCTTTAGCCTCTTTGCTGACTCCGTCTGGAGCTTTTCCGTCAGTGCAGTTGTGTTGTTGATCACCTTAAAATAAAATGCAAGACGTTTTGATTGATCTTAAACTTTTGGTTAAGTCACTAACCACTTCTGAGTGCTCACCGTCAGTAACAGCTTGCCCATACCGACCGTCATGATATGACATCCATTCTTCTGGTGTGCATTTTGAACGTCTCAACCCGATGGAAGTTGTATAGCCAGACACAGGCTGAACTAAATCATCATGAACCTCTACCTCTCCCATTTACGAGACTTTCGAAAAAGCTGTCTGAAGCGACCATAACAACGTAAATGTAGAAAGAGTACTTAGGCTAAACAACAACTATTCAGTGTCCAATATCCAATATTGATAGTGCGAGCGTAGAAAACTAGTAGTTTTTGATCTCTCGCGTCTAGTTCTTAGGGCTTGGTTCCAGTTGTTCGGTTTACTCCTGCAGTGGACGAGGAAATACCCTCTGCTTTCTTGCTTTTAGCTTCGGTGAGGTGGATGTTTTGTGGGTTAGTAGGTTGTAATTTGTAGAGTGATTAGGGAGCTACGGGTTGCTGGGAAGTTTAGAGAACTGCCATGACTCCTGTCTGTGTAGGTACCTGAAAGAGAATAGTAAGGTAGTGGTAAAGGAATGAAGAGAGAATAAAGAAGAGAGTGAAGTAGCACCATAGAGACTCTGGGAGCTGGGTTAAGGCCGTATCGCTAACCATCCTTGCCTTTAAACAGGAGTTTACGTAGATAGCCACTCCCCCTCCTGCTCTATGTTCCCTGTCCCTGCGGAAGAGTTCCATGCCAGCAACACGCATCTCTTCGTCGGAGATGTCCGATGAGAGCCAGGATTCGGTGATGAATATGATGTCGTAGTGCTGATGTTCACGCAGCGTCCTCATTTCTGCTACCTTCCCTCTTAGCCCCCTAACGTTGCTGTACATACATATTAGAGTGTGCCTGATGAGAGGGGAGGTCTGGATGTGTATTTTCGCGGGATGAGCGCTTACGTGGTTGAATTTAGCCTCGCCAGTCCTCATAGGACTGGCATTGTTCCGTTTTTTTGTGTTTTGTTCTTAACTTGGGTGGGGGCTGTAGCAGTGGTGGCTTCTTTACTTGATGTATCTAACTCACTGGTCAGCGCCTGTGTGACGACCACTGACTCCAGAGGTCTTGGTGGTTGCCGTCTCTCCTCTTGCCTTGTGGGTCTAGGCTTACTTTCACATATACGTATTGAGCCACCCATGCGATCTTTCGCATTATACCATGCGTGCAGAACGTCTGTGAGGGAGGCATATGAGTCGAACTGGACGGCAAGTAGTCTGGGATTGGGTATGGTCTTCAGGTGCGCTGGCCTTGGCAGTCTACTGACGCTGTTGGCCGGTATACTGTTGAGACCAACTTTGGTTGAGAGCCATTGCCATTGTTGGACGTCGTGAAAGTACCGATCTTTGACCGAGCTGTCACTTGGCAATTCTGGAATCCCATGTACAACTATAGTGTTGTTTCTGTTGGGATTTCCAACCGCTGACTTTCTCTCCTCCTCTCTTATTGACCATGGCTTGTCAGGCCTGGCCCGAATTTTACAGGCATTAACAACGTCCGGTTGTCGCGAGAGAAGGAGTGTGTCTTCAGCCTCTTTGGCGGTATTTAGGGACACACGTAAAGGGGGTGGCTTATCTCGGGGTGCACGGCTTCCTCGAGAAAGGCGACACAAAGTTGCAGGGAGGGGAGGGAGTCCCAGCATCTGACAGTAGTCGGTCCACATTCGGCTGTCAAATTGTTCCCTCTCGACCAACAATGAGTCTGTCGATACATCGACGTTGAACAAAATGATCGAGTTGGTCCTCCTGTGACCTGGGTTCGTTGTGGGTGGCACGCCCGACTTCCCAATGGGTTTGAGTAATTCCACTGGTTGTTTCTCAGTCACGGTGTGTGGGGTGTTCGGAATGGGTTTCGTAGAGGCTTCGGCGGTCGATGTCTTTGGCCATGCGCTTGACGTCCCCTGGGGCCGGGTAGGGGGTATGGAGACTTGACCTAATATGGTCCCCACGCGAGGTGGCGTGCCCACAGCTGGAGCTCTAGGTCTGTTTCCAGGTCTCTCTGTGTTATCCTTTGGTGTTAACCCTACTTATTCGAGGATGCTGGTAGCTTTTGCGTGGCGGAGAGCTTTCTGTGCGGAGTGCGGGCATTTTCCTGCACTCTGGACAGATGTACCAGAACCACTTGCATGGTTGTCTCTTCATCAGCTTATAGTATTGTCGGGGGACTTTGGTATCGCAGTGGCAATGCGCCCATCGTTGACACAGGTTGCATGCAAATGCCTCATCGACTACCGAAACAACTTTGGTGCAAACACTGCAGCCATCGGGTGTCGTAATACAGCCTTCCTTCCATGAATAAGGTGCTACGGATTGTGGCGAACTGCTTGTGGCTGCCTTGTTCTGAAGCCTTTTACGTCGTCTTCTATGTTCAGGCATGGTATGATCCTTGCTCAAGATAGGACTAGTTTGTGACGGGCTAGTGCTACTCTGTGTCACCTGTCTGATGGCGACTGGAATTCTAGAAACATGGGTTGGCCACTTCTTTAGAAGTTCGGTGTTCTGCCCTACCTCTGTTTGTCTTCTAGTACAGACTAGTGTGTTGTTTAGGGTGTTACTGGCCGTTTTTGTGCACGACCGCGTTATCCGTGTCAAAGCTTCAGACCTAGCGTTTTGGGCAGACATGTCGCTATGATATAAACTTCTTGGGAAAACAAGTAGTTAACAACAATAAGAGGGTTGAAGACTGAATGCAGCAAAAGGACAGAATAGAAAAGGGAAGATAATTTATGTTGGCTCACCTTCAGACACTTGTCACTTGATCCTCTGCTCTTGACCAACGAGTTTAACCGTAAGCTCCAGATGCGTATGTATAACCAGGAAAGATATTTCCTGGGGAATGACCTCCGAGGAGAACCGAGAGCTAAGGCAGTTTGGCAGTTGAAACGCCCAAGAACCACTGACAGGAGGTAGACCGGTTGGTTCAAAGGAATAATAATGCCAATTTTCAACTGTTGAGGAGTGAGCTGACGAATACGCAGGGGTGAGGTGCGTGGACGGACAGAAGTGCTGCAAACGTTCGATGTTTTTAGATTGAGTATTGTAAGTGGGAGTTTTTCATTGTGGAAAAATCCAAAAGCTGAGAGACGAGAGAAACACGTCACTACTCAAGGAGCGCGCCAGACCCAGATCCAATAACTCCAGATGAACTAATGTAAACCAGCTGACTTCTTCGAGCTCGTTAATAGTTCTTGTGGAATGGTTTCAGGTCCTTGATTGTATTCTCCAATGTCTAATATCTTTTAACGAGCTAGTGTAAACCAATTGATTTCTTCGCGCTCGCTTGTAGATCATGCGGAATGGTTCCTGGTCTTTGGTGGATTCGAATGCAGTAGGTCTACCCACCCGACTACTGTAGCTCTTGTTAGCCCGACGGGCGGTTGGGTACTGTCTAGATTTGTAGGGAGTGTTGTTTGTTTGTTTACTTTTTCTTCCGAGGACTGTGGTGCAGATGGGTTCTTCAAATGTCGTGCCAGTAGACAATTGGCCGGAATGGTCGTAAAAAGGAGATGAAAATATGTGCAGAGAAATCAAGGGAGAGAAAGTGTAGAGAGAGACAAAATAGAAAAAGAAAAGGAAAAAGGAAAGGAGAATAATAAATACTTAAAAAAAGAAAAAAAGATTAGGAGAAAGGGAACTGCGCAGAAGAATAAACATTGGTAGCTTCATGGGGAATCGGTGACAGGAAGAGCCTTTGTTGAAGTTTGAGAACGTAGAGTCAGAAGTAAGAAGGACAAATAACATTATAGGACGAACGGGGAATATTGTTGTTCTCTTAGTAGAGGACGGTAACTGGGGTGGGGACGCCTACAGGAAGGTATAAGGTTAGGCCAAGGTCTCGGTGATAGTGGTTTCACTAAGTTTTCAGTAACGGTTGGTCGTACCGAGTTAGTAAGCCGTGTTAGCCTAGTCCACATTCCAGTTGGATGAGCGCAAACCTTGCGTCGCTACGTAACTGTCCAAACTCTTCTTGAAGCTGTCAACAGACCAAGCAGTAGCAATCTCGGCAGGCAATGCGTTTCAGTGGCCGCAAACTCGCGGAAAGAAGAAGTATGATCGCACACAGGTTTTCGCTCTTTGGTGGGCGATCCTCCTTGGGTTACCACTAGAATCGCCATAGTGGCCGTTCGGTAGGATTCCACTGTTCGGATGACTCGGGTTACTGAGTATTTTGTAAGCCGTTATCAAGTCACCGCGTAATCTGCGGTAGTTTAGGGAGTAGAGCCCTAGATCTTTCAGCCTGTCCTGATGTGGTCTTTGCCTCATTCACACGACACCCTTTGTAGCACGCTTTTGGACTTTCTCCAGGAGGTTCACGTCCCTTTTCAGATATGGTGGTGCAATGACGTTGTATACCTCTAGGTGGGGTGGTATATAGGTCTTATGCAGCTTCAAAAAGAGTTCCAGGGTCGGGGCACCCAGTTGTCTGCGCATGAAGTGCAGTGCTGCGTAGGCTCTGGAGGCATCTCCTGGATAGTTGGAACTGGTGTCTAGTTTGTCAGTTAGTATTAGTCCTAGGTCTTTCTCTGTGGTGTTGTGGGAGAGTTGTGTTCCACAGAGAGAATAGGGTACCTTCTGAGAGTCTGGGACGCAGAGAAATGTGGCCCGGCACCTATCTAGGTTAAATGCAACTCCATTACTATCCACCCACTCTGCAAGTAATCTCAGACCACTTTTCAGTGCACTTGATTCTGTTTCTGACGTCACAGCTCTCCATAACTTAACATCATCAACATAGAGTAGAATCAGGGAGCTGAGATTCAGTGGGGTCGTTCACAAAAAGAAGGAATAGCAGTGAACCTAGAATCGCCCCTTGCGATACACCAGATGATGATGTCCTCCAAATCGACCAAACTCTGTTGGCGTTTGTGCAGAACTCCCCATCGTCTAGATGGTCCTACAGCCATGAAAGCACTTGTTCCTTGATGCCCAACCTTTCTATTTTGTGAATAAGAACGGTGTGTGGCACTGTGTCTAAGGCCTTATTGAAATCCAGGAAAATTGCATGGACAGGAATTTAGAGGTCCCAGCATGCCGTCCACTTATCACCGGTCGCCAGAATGTTTGTGGCACAGGACCTACCACTTCTGAAACCATGTTGTGCATCACTAAGTGCTCCCTTCTTTTCTAAGTATTCCCCAACATGGTCTTCTACCAGACTCTCCA